CAAAGGACTACTTGCCTACCGATCAACACCACTGGCCTGTAAATTCTCTCCAGCTCAGCTGTTGATGGGGCGAAAGTTAAGGAACAGCGTGCCAATGTTCCATGCCGAACTCAACCCACACTGGCCAGACCTAGAGAAGCTTCACGCACGAGAAAGTGAAAGCAAGTTGAAGCAACAGTCAAACTTCAACCTAAGGCACAAGACCACACCTTTGACACAACTGGAACCTGGCACCGAGGTACATGTCAAAGACCTTGACCGACCTGGTGTGGTAGTGAGAGCAGCAGAAACTCCTCGTTCTTATGAGGTTAAGACACCCATCAGCACCGTGAGAAGGAATCGTGCGCACCTCACACCAATACCAGAACAGAGAGAAAACCAACCGGTACCTGCTGAAGATAAGATCACAGCGCCTGTACAAGCTGATCAGCCGAAACTTAAAATGAACTCGCAGGCAGCACCAGCTACACCTTTGCTAGCAAATAGGCCTAAAAGACTGTTAAAACCATCTCTTAAAGTTCGAGAGAACCTAGGATTGATTTGACATTTTTCGGATAGGCTTGACAGTTTGCCTTATTACGTTGTCAAAGTTTTAACAGTCCGTTAAGATGTTTCGTTACTAAAAAAGGGGAAATGTTGTGTTAGCTTACAAGAAATGTATAGCTTACATGAAGTAATAAATGAGGAGGAGCAAAAACACGTGTTGTCCTTGCTTCACGAGTAACTCAACACAGTTGTTATCCATACCAGCGATGATGATGTTAATGGAGATTGTGAATGTTAAGCCTGGTAATTTACGTGAAATATGATGTATTGAGTAAATAGCAGAAGCATTCTTGAAGCTATAACGAACTATCGAGTTCTCCGAATAGTATTCAAACCTAGGATCTTCCAATTTGTCAAACCTAGGATCTTCCAATTTGTAATTCGGATGCTTTAAAACTGAGTGATAGAAGACTTGTGGCAGGCCAGGTCGTTCAAGTAAATCCATTGTGACAAACGTACTGCATACTGCAAGGATAAGAATGTGGAATATGATGTTTTTGCGCAATGATGTTATTAATGAAAATGGTAAATGTTAAGCGTGTCATTTTTACATTGAAAGATGATGTAATGAGGAAATGAGATATGCATACCCGGAGGAAATTAAAGAAATCCGAATATTTGGCATAAGACTCGAACCCACGACCTTCCGATCAGCGTATTGGATGCTCTACCAGTGTGATATGAGGGACTGGTGTGAGGCTATCCGTCTAACCACGTCCATGGTGACAAACGTCCAGCGTACTGCTTCGACAAAAATGATGAATGTGATGCTTTTGCACAATGATGATGTAAATGAACACGGTAGATGTTAAGCATGGTTATTTACCTTAAAGATGACGTAATGATGGTGGAACTCTTTCACAACACATTTGCTGAGGGATTATAGATTTCTCATAGAGTCACGTTCTTGTCTAGTTTATGAGGACACAAAGATATTCCTTTATTAGCTCTCTGTAAGCCATGTTTATTTCTTGCATTTGCAGCCATTATGATACCATCTGAATCTTCTGCAAATTGTCCTGTAGAGGCTAAATTCTTATATTTTTAGCGAGTGCTTCCAAGTTCACAGAGGAGCAATCTAGTGACTCTTTGAGGACAATTTTTGATTTACGAGTGGTATCCTCAAAGATACTGTCAAGCCAATTGTATGGTGGGAGGAAAACTGGCTCAACTTCTTTTAGCACAAACATTAAAAAAACAAAAGAGCAAGAATCCAGATGCAATATAGTTTTCCTTATTCTTTAAAGAACGACGAACCATGACTTGGTATCAAAGGAACACTTTTTCCCATCTGTGATTTCTTTGATAACAAGTCAGACAGAGTATATATGTTGTTAATGAGTGACTTTATTAAGGTTAGTTCGTTCCTGTGTCCAAACATAGAATTACTTTTCTATATTATTTGTTTCTCCTTGAGAATTTGGTTCACAATACTGACCAATTTCGTCACAAAGAGTGAGGAAATTTGAACAGGAATATCGGTTCTACTGCAATCCATCACATTGTTACTTATGCAGTTCTATTCACCAATAATGCCTGGACGTGTAGGTTGATTATCGGAGATTATTAATCGTTTAATATGGAGCTTAATGTTATGAGGTTTGTCTCTACATCAGATTTCGAACAAAACTAAGTCAGTACGCCACCGACAAATCACGATATTTTGCTTTCGGATCTTCGTCTGATAAATGTTTATTTTTGGTAAGGCGACGGCTATGATAAGATGGAGTGCTTTCAGCCCAGAGAAAGTTTGAGCTATCATTTCATTATCATAGGAAACGGCCATTACATTTATATATATTCGAGGAATGGCAGTCCAAGAGATAAAGCAAGACTTAAGAGTCCCTTGATGACTGGTACGCAGTGTATGACGTTCTACTACAATTTCTACGGCCAAACAATGAGTTGCGTTATTGTTTACATCAAAACTACTGACGGTACTGAGAAAGTTGTGTGGATCAAGTCGGGCCACTGGGGAGACCGCTGGATCAAAACACAGATTGAGATCAGTGAAGAGAAGGCCAGCTATCGGGTTAGTTATCAATTCCCTTCTCCTAAATTTCTGTTTAAATCCGAAAGGACTAGAAGTGCCATGACCAGAGTATAGCTGATTACTCACCCCACACTAAGTAGGTGATATGAACGATACTTAGGAAACTGTAAATTTCCCACAGTAGGCTAGGCTGGTTGAAGGGTATTAGGGCAGTACTGGGAATTCGATATACAGTTTCAAAATCACACATAGAGAAGAATAAGTGGAAAATGATCAATAAGTTGCAGGTTTAGAGCAGGATTCTGACTGTCGCGTGCCATGGTCATACTCGTTGAGGGAGATTTCTCAAAAATAAAAGTTATTCAACGATTTTTGTGAAACTTTCTATGGATGTTCCACACCAATCACTGCTTCGATTAAAAGAATGTAGGTCACTATGCTAACAAAAGAGATATGATGGGCCAATGTTACTCCACTCATGCCTGTCATAGCACTAATCAAGAGCGATATTCCATTGGTTTATGGTACATTTGCGGCGTCTGTAAGAAAGATTTTTAAAAGTTATGATTAAACAAAGCAGTTGACCATATGAAACCATCTAATATGTGGAAATATTTCACAATTTTCAAACGAAATTGACGAAAACCGTTCGTCGAGTCGTTGTTCTCAGCTTCAAAAGTTGCATCCCACTTAAGTTAGTCTCTTCAAAGGAGACTCATTTTCCCATTAAAATTCTGCAGAAAAATGCAAGTTACCGCGCTCGTTTGAGAGCGAAAGACCATCTTCCTATCAAACTCGTCCATTGAAAGTGAGAAAAGCACTTAAAGGTGATATTATCTTTCCCGTTTCCATAATGGTTACAAGATAATGAATGGTCTTATGGTCATACGCAAAAGCAGTGAGACGATAATAGGTGAACCTGGCTTTCAATAAAGAAATGCTTTTTTCTACAAATGATGACCTAGAGGAAATGCAAAATTTCCAGGGCGGTTTTTTTTTTTCATAAATTAGATCATTGTGGAGGGAGTTAGAGGAAGTTTGCACCTTGGCGACGCAGCCTTGGACCAGTTTCATTTCATAAATGGATCATGCCAGCAAGGTTTGTAGATGACCGCTTTGGTATTTTCTAAATCAAACGACAAGAAAGGAACACATATTTCCAAAACTATAATCAGTCACACATTCCCATTGGAAAAAATTACTGAGTCCATTGAACATACCTCGAAATCTAAAGCGTGCAAGAATTAGACGACAAAGAGTACCAGAAAATAGAGAAAAAAAAGGTTTGTTTCGCAAGCGGACGGCTGAGCATACGTTTTCTGTATGCTTCTCAAGTTATTATCGTCCGCACTGAAAAACCGACTGCACTTAACTGTTCCTTACTTACTGGCACTTAACTCATACGTAGTCGATACTAAAATGAACACAGTTTCAACTGAAAGTCATCTCTAAGAGTAAGAATCACCACAATTTGAGATGAATAATGCCTTTTTCAGCCCGCCCTGTGTTTCGCGTCATGTCAACGAGGGAAGACAACAACAACATTTATCGCGTGCATGCAGTACCAGCCCACGACCAATGGCTACACATGTTCTCATTTACAACTGGTCAAAGCCGGTGCAAAGAAAACGATACCATGTATTTCATTTATCCTCCGTCCAGATCCGGAAAGTCAATCATATCCTCAACCCTTCATCTCAATGACTCTGACCGTTTTCCAAATGATTTCTTCGTCGCTGGAAGAAATGAACACACCAATGATATTTTTGAGTTAAACATAAATTCTAACATTTCCAATAAGATAACCGTCTCAAACCAATCAACCGACTGTTGCTATTCAGCTC